CCCCCGCACGCACACAATCGATCGGTAATAAAACGTCGACTCTTACCTTTATAACACAGGAGACTACAAGCAGCAACAAGTGTTAGTATTCTGGGATATAATCCGTCCATAGCTGTCATCTTAACCTCAAGGAATGGTGAGAATCACACTGCTTCTATGTATCTGTATAACAACAAAAACATTACCATCATCTAAACCGTTTAACGCTGCTTGATCTATGAAAATAAACGAGGATCACGATAACGACTGGTCCTTCAGGTAACAGCAGAAAAGTAATCACGTGGTGCCGAAAGTTGTCATGGCTGAATGGTTTTGCCGTAGGTGTACAATGTAAGCCGTGTATTTAACCTCAGTGAGGTTTAGCAGGTATTAACCTAATAAGCCCTCGCTCAGTCAATGTACACATTTACGTCTTGCTGTTTACCGATGACAAAAATAATCTGTGAAATATTGCTAATTTCATGCCAAACTATTTTATTGTGAATTTATATAGCGTGGTCACAATTCAACCACAACTGATGGAAACGTCCTTCATTTATATCAGTTATGTCTAACCCTTGATGACTAGGCCCACAGTACCTGGTAAACCGTGAATTAGCATACAGACCTATAGACACACAGGTATAGTGTATATACACATAGATATATATACAGTGTAAATCATTGTCAACGCATTTCCTTCTTCTACCGATACAATCTATGTGCGTGACACGAAGTGACCTGACGTCATCTGCTTGATTTTTATAAAGAAAATAATTCATATATATATAAATGAGGAAAACGGTAAAAATGCATGACTTTTAAAGTAATTATCAGGCTATGGGGGGTTTCCCAAAGCACAAAAAAAAAACTCTGGATCCGCCACTGGTTGGGAAGACAACTTGTAATAATACCAGTGTAATTGTCTATCTCTTATTGTCATCAGATCTTTTTGAAATTGTAACAAATTTTGAAATTCTTGATTTTGATCCTTTAATTTCTGATGTTCATTGTAGACTCAATATAAACTTGTAGTGCACAATATAAATGTCAGAAGTAATATTTTCCCACAGGTAACTATGTTAAAATGGTATCGAACTGCGCCAACTATATTGAAGAAGATAATAATGGTACTTAAAAGAAATTGTTGAAAAATTGGACCTGATTTCGGGAAAACCATGCAATTTAGTAACAGCTGTGGAAATAAATGATGTGATCTGTAGTAAATACAAAGATTCGGCAAAACCTACATTTGGGGAAAAGAAGGTTTTTCATCAAACATACAAAAGTCGAAAAACTAGAAAACCTTGGTTTACTCGGGAATGTCATCATAAGAGGTTAGATTTTCATGGAGTCTAACGTCGTTATAATGCCGATAAAAATACTGGTATAGAATACAGGAGAACTTTGAATAAATTTTATAAAATCTATCAAGAGAAAATGGAAATGGAATTAAGAAAAAAATTAAAAATAGGACCGAAAACATTCTGGCATATTCTTAATGAAATTGACGGTAATTGCAAGGGACAGAATGTTGTTAAAATTTCAATGAATTATACAGCTACTTTAAAGATCTTAACAAGGGAGGTAACTCTACTGAAATATTTCAAAGCGAAATGATCTGTTGAATGGAGAAATTACCGAATGTGAAATTACTAAATCCATTTCGTATTTAATTAACAATAAGGCTTCAGGTTATGATGGAATCTTAAATGAATATTTAAAATCCACTGTTGAATTATTTAAACCATTATAAGTTATTTAATGCTATATTTAATACAGGCTGTATACCTGACTCTTGGAAGCCAGGTGTTATAAAACCCATATATAAACGTAAAGGTGATCCGGATAATTTAGATAATTATATAGAGCAATAAGACTCGTCTCATGTCTTGGAAAAGTGTTTACATTCATACTTAAAAGCAGATTAAATAAAATGGCTAATAAAATAAATCTTATATCTTGGGCTCAGGCCGGATTCAGGAAAAATCACTCCACCACGGACAATATTTTCATTCTACATGCCTTACCTCTTTTTATTTTTCACTCGAAAAAAAGTTGTTTTGTTCATTTATAGATTTCAAAAAGGCATTTGATTCGGTTTGGAGACTTGGGCTATGGAAAAAAGTTCAGAAAAGTAAAATAACTGGGAAAATGTTCAAAATCATTTTTAATTTACATGCAAATACTACACTGTAAATCCTATGTTAAAAATGGAAATGATATATCTGAAATGTTCAACTGTAACGTCGGGGTAAAACAAGGGGAACATCATCTCCATTTTTATTTGCCATTTATCTTAATGATCTAGAAGATTTTCTTGAAGAAAACAGCGTTAATTGTTTACATACAATAGAAACTTTAGGTGAAAATATTGGAATATATATTAAAATGTTTATAATTCTCTATGCAGATGATACTGTTATCATGTCTGAATCGGCGGAAGGACTCCAATCTGCTCTTAATACTTTTGAATTATATTGTAAAAGCTGGAAGCTTGATGTAAATATCAACAAACCCAAAATTGTTATATTTTCAAAGAGAAAATGTCGAACACAGTTTCATTTTACAATATGTAATGAAGAGATAGAGGTTCTTGAATCAGTCTCCTATTTAGGAGTCTTAATGAGTTACAATGGAAGTTATTTCAAAGCAAAAATGAAATTGTTAGAACAGTCCAAAAAAGCTATGTTTGCTGTGTACAAGAAAATAAGAAATATTTCATTACCTGTAGACCTTCAATTAAAAATGTTTGATTCCCTTGTATTACCAATATTTCTCTTTTCAGTAGAAGTATGGAGTTTTGAAAATTTAAGCGCAATTGAAAAACTACATTTACAATTCTGCTAGCGTATATTGGGTATTTAAATAAGCACGCCAAACTACAAGGTTTATGGAGAGATCGGGAGATTCCCTTTATATGTTAAAGTTAAAACCAGAGTAATAATGTTTTGATATAAATTGATAACTAGCAATAGTCTGTCAAGCACTATGCATAACTTAATGTTTATCTTACAAACAAATGGAATCATGGAGTTCAAATGGTTAAAGAATGCTCAATATATATGTATGAAAACAGGTTTAAATATCTGGGCATATCAGAAAAAATGTACGTTTAATAGAGATTATTTGAAACTTGTGAAATAAAGATTACAAGACCAGTTTATCTAAAAATGGTTTAACGATATCGAGAGCTCTTCAAGAGGATCTACCTATTCCAATTTTAAAATAAATGTTAAACTTGAAAATTACCTTGTGAAACTAAAGCCAAAAGAAAGACAAATTATTGCTAAGTTCAGAACTTCAAATATGTACTTACCTATAGAAACTGAAAAATGGATTGGAATACACAAAGAAAACAGAACTTGTAATCTATGTTTTAATGAAATTGGTGATGAATATCATTTTCTATTTAAGTGCGAACACGTATCTGTTAAGCAAATAAGACAACTATTTATTCCAAATTACTACTATACTTACCCTAGCCTTATTACTACTATACTTACCCTAGCCTTATTACTACATGTACTATACTTACCCTAGCCTTATTACTACTATACTTACCCTAGCCTTATTACTACTATACTTACCCTAGCCTTATTACTACTATACTTACCCTAGCCTCATTAAAATGCTTGGACTATTTACTATATGCAATGTAAAAGTTTGTGAGCAAATTTCAAGAAAAACTTGAAAAGCTATTGAATGTACGTAATTAGTTTATCATGGTAGTCTTTATGCCTTTGTTATCCGCCATGTATATATGAATATGATATATATTGACCTCTTGTTACATACTGTGTATGTCTGAGAGAAATAAAAATCTGAAATCTGTAACTTGTACAGTGATCAACTCTATCAAACAGTTTCGGGTTTTTATTACTTTTGGCTGTACGGCCCATCAAACTTAAACATGGATACTGTACATTGAATATGTAGAAAACGTGGCTGTGATGATTTCTTTTAAACGATTGTTTTAGACATAAGTTTTAAAATGATTGGCTCAAAAATCCTTTTACCAGGAGAACGTGGTTCATTAATAGTTTTGGACTCTAATTAAGTCATTGAATAAACTTTGAGCAGATATATTTCTGCAGTAATAGTTCTCCATATATTTTCTTCGTAAAGAAGTAAACTATAAATGTATGCGTTACATCTGAGTGGTATGCCGGTCCTAAACAATTAACCGGTAAAATCAAACCGATGTACCTGTATTAGACCAGGTGTAGTAACAATGTCTTAAAGGTCATTGACTCATTTGGAAGGAGAAAAAACTAGTTGTCGCGACTTTTCATTAATTCCACATTAACCAGACAGTTTGACCAGGTCAGCGCCGGTAGTAAGATCTATTGTTTCCAGATTTATATACAACCTTAACAGTATCCTTTAACGACAGAGAAATGAAACCATAATTAGGATGTGGATATATACCCAGTTTCCTTGATGACGTACATCGTATTGTACCTATACAATACACGGACTACAATGCTGATCTAAGTGAATCCTATATCGGACAATTAAACCAGGTCGACACAGGTGAGCGTGTATCGTGTCTGTGTCTCGTATTCCTCCATGACGTGTCTAAATGGGGATATATTAACCCCACGGGTTGACAACATCTATACAGAAAACAATTCCTCTCGGCTATCCTTCAGCACGTGTAATGACAGGCATCACAGACTCTTCGTCGTTATTATCATCGTTTGTGACATTAAACTTTAGCAGGACAACAACTGTCACCTCACTACCAGACATAACGACTGAATTATCACGGTATCTAACTTTCTTTCCTCAGTAATATCTTACCATCCTCCTCCTTTGATGATGAAGTGTGCGAGTTAGTGTGAGAATGTCCTTGTGAGTGTCTTTGTCTTACTGTAGTTGCCATAACTTGTAAAACTTCAGCAAATAAAGAACTGATTTTAACTGAACATCATATCATCCTCCCCTGAATATAAAATGTACACATCTACATGTATCACACCCGTGTTTATGTGTGACCGTTTCGGTGAGTTGTGCGATATGTACCCTGGCTCGTCCATCAGACAAATGACCAGTGAAGCGTATGTACACAAAGGTGTAAAATGTGTACGTGTTGGTAATATATAATCGAAGTCTTCGGAAGAAGATTCATCAGTTTGGTCTGAACAATAAAGGCTAATTAAGTTAGTTTTGTTTTGTCAAGCAAAGAGTGCAAATGACCAGTGTCTCGACCTTAAACTATGGTGGCTTATATATGACAATTTGTCTTTTCACTTTGTCGCCGGCGAAATAACGCCAAGTTAAAAAACGAAAAGACGAAAACCCGCAAAAGTGAAAAGACGAAAACCGCAAAAACAAAAAGATGAAATGACGAAATCCGCCAAAGCTAAATACAATGTAACAAAATAACGC